AGAAGAGAAGGAAAAGAGAATAGAAGAAGAATAGGATGGAAGAAACTCCTCCTTGACCACTGCCGGAATTCTGTCAGACTTCCACAAGATGTCGGAATTCTGCCTGATTTCCACGGGATGCCGAAATTCTGCCCAAGTAACGTCGAAGTTTCGCCCGACGCCGAAACTCCGCCTAAGTGACACCAGATTTCTGATCGACTTTCAAACAACACCGGAAATCTGCCAGATCTCCAAGTGACGCCGGAATTCTGTCTGACAATGTAACTTGATTTCAATCCATAAGTGATTCATTGCAATATCACACAATTTGCTCTCTATATCCAAGCTTGTCACTGACAATCAATGTTCCGTATCATTTGATCCCGGTGGATTCGTCATCAAGGACCTACGGGACAACACAATTCTTCACCGTGGCCGTAGTCAAGACGGAATCTATCCACTCAACGCTCTCCACACCACAACCTCTCCATCCACACCAAATTCAGCTTCGATATGGCATGCTCGCCTCGGTCATGCTCATCCCCGTGCAATGGCCGCTCTATCTACACTTCTACCCGAATTACAGAAATGTTCTCTTTCTTTTGTTTGCACTTCATGTAATGTGGCCAAGAGCCACCGTCTTTCCTTTCCAAAACAAGCAAATCATGTATCTACTCCATTTAGTTTAATACACTCAGATGTTTGGGGTCCTTCCCCTGTCTCTTCCTTAACTGGTTATCGTTACTACTCTGTGTTTATAGATGACGCCACACGATATTGCTGGATTTACTTAATGCATACTAAAAACGAAACCTATTCCAAATTTAAACAATTCCTCGCAATGGCTACAACCCAATTCAAAGCAACCATCCAAACTTTTCGCTCGGATGCCGGCGGAGAATACACAAGCCACGAATTCAAGAACCTACTCCAAACTCACGGCATCCACCATCAGTTTAGCTGTCCAAATACTCCCCAACAAAACGGTGTCTCCGAAAGGAAACACCGTCACCTTCTAGAAACCACGCGCACCCTTCTACACGCTGCACATCTTCCATTTCGTTTTTGGGCAGAAGCTCTCCAGACCTCAAATTATCTCATAAACCGACTTCCTACGTCTGCGTTAAACTCTCAGATACCGTTCATTCTTCTCCACGGCAGACCGCCTCAATATGATCACCTAAAATCATTTGGTTGCTTATGTTTCCCTTGGCTCCAACCTCAATCCCCTCATAAGCTTGCCCCAAGATCCTCACCTTGCATCTTTCTTGGCTACTCCTCTCAACACAAAGGATATCGGTGCTACAACACCCAAACTCACAAACTTCACATTTCCCGCCATGTCCGCTTCTACGAACACTTACAGCCATACAAGGAATCAGCCACAAACCTTCCCAACCCACCATCCAACACCTATATTCCACCGATGCTCCTAACTCCCACTTCTATACATCAGACATCCAACTCCACCCAATCCTCCTCTATCAACGCATCCTCAAACACTACCGAACCTCACTATCCAACCTTGCCTATTCCTACACCTTCCACAGAAACCCAACATTTACCAACCAACACCATTCTTCCCACACACTCCATGGCTACTCGATCCAAAACAGGTCACTCTAGACCGAAGAAAGTGTATGATCTTCTTGCTGTAGCTGACTCTGCGTTCCCACCTACATCCTACACTGCGGCATCCAAGGATTCCTCCTGGCAGGCAGCCATGTCTGAGGAAATTGAGGCTCTACTCAAACAACAAACCTGGTCACTCACTCCACTCCCACCAGGCCGTCCAGTTCTTGGCTGTCGCTGGACCTACAAAATCAAAACTAATCCTGACGGGACTGTCAACAGATACAAAGCAAGACTCGTCGCTCAAGGTTTTACACAACAATATGGCGTGAACTACAAAGAAACCTTCAGCCCCGTTGCCAAAATACCCACAATCCGTCTTCTCCTCATCATCGCCATTCATCATCATTGGCCCCTGCTACAATTTGACGTCGCCAACGCCTTTCTCCACGGCGACCTCCACGACGAAGTCTATATGAAACAACCCCAAGGGTTCGTTGACCGGGACCGTCCCAACCACGTCTGCCGTCTACACAAGGCACTCTACGGCCTAAAACAGGCTCCCAGGCAGTGGTTTCGCAAGCTCACAGACTTCCTTCTTCATTTCGGCTTCCAATTCAGCCGGGCGGATCCTTCATTACTTGTCTACAACCGAACAACCACTCAACTATACCTTCTCATCTATGTCGATGATCTTCTCCTCACGGGTAACGACTCCTCAGTCATCAACACTCTTCTCCAACAACTCCAAACAAACTTTGATCTAAAGCAGCTCGGTCAACCAAGCCTGTTTCTCGGCATTCAAATCACTTATACTGCTACAGGAGCCTTCCTCCACCAATCACATTATGCTCGTGATATACTTATTGCAGCCGGACTCCAAGACAGCAAACCAGCAAGCACACCTATCTCTTCCTCCGGTACCCGAACTGCACCTCTTCTCAAACCATATGATAATCCCACACAGTTCAGGCAGCTAGCTGGATCTCTACACTATCTCACCATAACCAGACCCGACTTATCTTTTGCTGTCAACATGATCTGCCAGAGTATGCATAATCCAACTATTCATGACTACATGCAGCTCAAACGGCTTCTCCGTTACGTCAACGGCACTCAACATCTGGGTCTACCCATCACCCGAGGCTCCCTAGAACTCACTACATACTGTGATGCCGACTGGGCTTCGGACGCCACCGACCGGAAATCCATCACCGGATTTTGTACTTTCATCGGCAACAACATTCTCTCGTGGAGTGTGAAGAAACAAACCACGGTTGCAAAATCCTCCACCGAAGCCGAATACAGGGCTCTCGCCGCCGCTCTCTCGGATGTTATCTGGTTGCGCCGGCTGCTTCAGGACTTCCACATACCTCTGGACAAACCAACCACCATCTTCTGTGATAATGTTTCCGCCCTGTCCCTTGCTCACAACCCCGTGTTTCATGCACGGACAAAACATATAGAAATTGATCACCATTTCATCAGTGATCATATTCAGAAGCAGACCATCATCGCAACTCATCTCAACTCAGAAGATCAAATCGCCGACATTCTGACGAAGCCACTCTCTACAACTCGCTTCATCACACTAAGGAACAAACTAACCATCAGTGCCTTAGATTGTTAGTTTGAGGGGGGATAAACAGATGTAATCATCAAAGCTACTGGTCACATGCTCCCGCACTCCCTCTGTGCCACTACTCTGACCATTAACGGTCTCTATCCATGTAGCCGTCCATGCTCCCGTTACGGTTTTATATACCGCGGGCGACTCAATAAATGCTAAGCATTTTCTTCCCAATTTACTGTTCATCTTCTTCTTCTAACCATGTCTCTGCAGGAATTCTATCACACAGCCCTCGGGCTCACGTTGTTGCTTCCGCTCAAAATGTCTTTAACTTCCGATCTAACAGGGAAAATCGTGGTGGAGCGAAGTCAAATGGGGAAGGAGGAGTCGGGCAGAGGCGCTGGGCTTCAGAGGTCGGCCTTCTCTCTCTCTCTCTCTCTCTCTCTCTCTCTCTCTCTGAATCAAGGGGCTCGACGGTATGAGATCGGGAGAAAGAGCTCGGCTGCGGCTTGGGGAAGGAGGAGAGTTGGAAGTGGCTTGGAGTATAGAGGGAGAGTTCCGATCGTTGCTTCCGATCGGGATTTGGTCGCGGGAAAGAGAGGAGATCGGAGAGGTATTGGGTCGGGAGCTTGGAGTCGGAGAAGCGTCGCCCCTCAAATTCCTTATGTCCAACCTCAAACTGCTGGTGCACACTCAACTCACAGTGGAGAACTATGCCATATGGAGGTTACAAATCTATCAAGCCTTCTCAGCCAACGGGTTTGAGAGCTACCTCACCGAGCAACCACCGAGCTCCGTCTCACCCTCCGACCAGAAACTGTGGAAATTAATAGATCAGAACCTTGTATCTGCTCTATTTTCCACAATATCTCCCTCGGTCCTGCCCTACATTCTGCACCTTAAAAACTCCCACGACATCTGGAATACATTGGAACTCCGACTGCAACCGTCAAATCGTTCGCGCGTTCTCCAGCTAAAGAACGAGCTACACAATGTTCAGATGCGTGATCAAACGATCCCTCAATATCTTGCTCAAATCAAGTCTCTGGTGGACAACATTGCCGCGGCCGGGTCGCAGATAGAAACCGAGGATGTCATTTTATACACTCTGAAAGGCTTACCATCCTCCTATAACCCATTCAAGGCAGCGATCCGAATCTCGCCTCACACGATATCGCTTGAATCCTTATACTCCCTGCTATGCAGTGAGGAAGTTAACCTTCAGTCTGAGCTTCAGCAAGACACTGCTTCAATCGGCGACGTTCAAGCCTTATACTCGTCCAGGGGACGAGGAAAACCTTCAATGCCTCGCAGCTCCAGGGGCCGTGGAACTTACTCCAGTTCCACTGGAATCATGAACAGGAGTTCATATCCGAAGGAACAAACTCAGCAGCAAACTAACCGTGGCTCACCGAGACCAACATGCCAGATTTGCGGGAAATCTGGGCATTCTGCTTTATCGTGTTGGCACCGATACAACACTAATTACAGCTCTCCTCCGGTCTCTAATACAAGAGCCTACCTCACCCCTTCTCCGAACACCTCCAACAACGAGTGGATACTCGACTCAGGGGCCTCTGCTCATCTCACACCTGATGTGCTACATATACCGCAGCCAACATCCTATCAGGGCTCAGACTCAGTCTCTACAGCGAGCGGATCATCACTTCCTATCCACCACAGCGGTTCGGGTATCCTTCCCCTCCCTGAAACCAATCGTAAGTTAAAACTCACCCGTCTCCTTCACGTCCCTTCATTATCACACAATTTGCTCTCTATATCCAAGCTTGTCACTGACAATCAATGTTCCGTATCATTTGATCCCGGTGGATTCGTCATCAAGGAGAAGCATATCAAACATTATGCATCAAGGGCCTACTCAACTACAAGGAGCTACCATGAGGCTTATCTGCTCTTAAACTTTGTTCAACTTTGGTAGAAATCACTATACAAATGGGAGCCACAGACCTCATCAACCACTCAATATAAACCAAACAATTGACTTCAATAACACTTGTCAGAGATTGTAAATCTAAAGTTGGGCTAAATACACAAATGATCAAATTCATTTTAAATCCAAACACTTGAGCCTATAACTGAGGGCCAACCATTAGATATTCTATATCAATATATTTTTCTAAAATCTAATGTAAAACTAAATCCAAATCTTTCATTTGTTTTATCATATGCCTTCCCACAGCTTCTTGCAATTCAAACTCAGAGATAAAGGCATAAATAAAAGTATGATGATCCATTGCAAGGGTGATCGAGTTGATCAAATAAAGGAGAGGCTCTTACTCTCTTGCTGCGGCAAGGTCAAGCTGGAAAGTAGTTTCAAAAAGCCTCTGTGAAGTAGCAAGATAACTGATCAGAATATGCATTGAAAAAGATGATAATCGGATATTTTGATAAGCTTGAACACTAGGAACACTACTTACTCGCAATGAGAGACCGTCCATAACTCCCATTTCACAAAATGGAACAAAAGCCAAGTATGCAAATAGAAGCCCTGCTTCATAACTGCATGTTTGGTCTTAAATTCAATCATCTAGAAATATCATTATAATTTAGATGAACGAGTTGTGTAAAATACCATTTCAAAGAAGCCTGAATGAAAATGAGCATTCTTTCATGTTTTAAAAAATAAGTAGACAAGCTAAGTACCATTCATTCATTTAATTTAGAAGAGGTTGTATGTCTCACATGTCATCAGCTATCCCGAATGCTCTTTTTTCTAAAGGGCTATATGCACCAGCTCCAATGGCCCGGCGCCATAATCCTTCGGACAGAGGGCCAGTACCTGCTTCTAATGATGTATACCTGTGACACAAGAAAATAAACTGTTTCAGATTTCGTTTGGAACGGCTTTTTTACTGCTTCTTGAAGCAAGAAGCATCTTTTTAATAAAAAAATTTAATTTTTATACTAAAAAGCTGGTTCAAGAAGCAATAAAGAAGTTGTCCCAAACGAAACATCAATTAGACAATCATCTCTGCTAGTTCAAAATATTATTTAATCAGCATACCATCAAAAGGCCCCACGGTAGCCTTGTCAATAGTCAACTTAAGAAGATGTTACTCGTCAATATTATCACAAAAAATTATCATATTGGAATTTTTTAAAGAAAATAATCACTATTGGTTCGTCCCTATTGTACCTTTTGTTTCTCTGTAAGACTATAGTAAAATAAATCAAGTTGTTTTCAATTACTCTAACAAGAACTATGAGTCCAATTAGGGCTTGTTGTTGATTCCATCACTTGCTCCTGGTCTCTTCCTTCACGTGCCTCTCTCCTAGCCCGACTATGGATGCTACATTGCACTCACTTAAGAACTTTGCATGCTCCACTACACTCGCCTCCCATGTTGCACCCATCCAAGTAATGCCTGGCTTGTGCTTGTCCCCACTCAGTTCATACCTGCGTAATGTGCCCACATTCTCGGCTTGAGTGTGTTTGCTTGCCCCCATGTGTTGCTTGAATTCACTGCCCGCTATTGTGCCTTATCCATCCTCTCTGTTGATCCACTCTCACACCTTTAGTGCTCTCACTGCCCGCTATTGTGCCTTCTCCATGCTCTCTGTTGGTCCTCTCTCACACCTTTAGCGCTCTCTCTCATGTGTTGCCACTTACGAGAATCTTATACATGTCTGTTTAATGATTTCATGCTAGATTACTTATTTGCAATCACATCAAAGTGTTGCCTTTCAATCTATGATGATTAAATCATTATCGATCTCTTCTTCTCTTTAGTGTTCATTGATGGCATCATTACTCCTTTATCTAAAACAAAACACTCCTTCAATATTAGTATCTCTATCAAACTCCATGGTACCAACTATCTTCTATGATCTTCAACTTTTTATTTCCCCATTGCTCCCATGAAAAAATTTACATCTACAGTCTCCAACTCCTGAACCAAAGGGCTACCAAATATACAAAATGGCAAGTTTGGCGAGCTTCTCACTATGTCGTTCTTGCACAAATGCTCAACAATCTTCATCCAATGATCGATTCAATTGTTATGTTTCAAAAGTTTGCAAAAGGTTCTGTGACTTTTTTTCCACTTATTTTCAAGATAGTATATCTCTTAAGTATAAACTCTCTACTCAATATCTTTTTACAACTAAACGAAAAATCTGTTCAAGATTATTATAATAACTTGAAAGGCAACTGTAATGAACTTTTAATATCAACCCTTTAATGCTGATCATATTACTTTGCAAAAACAAAATGTGAAATTTCTTTTTTTTTACGTTTTTTTGGACTCTCCAATCTCCATCTACCTCTTCAATGTTTTTAAGTTCAATGAATTGTTGACTATATTATTCCGATATATCCCCGTCTCTTTTATACATTATCTGGGTCACTAAGCTTACTGCTGTCTTCTTTTGATAAGAACAAACTGCATCTGCTATCGACATAAGAGTAGGTCTTGGTAATAGTGGTCGTAGTGGTTTTTGTGGTTGATGTGATCATGATTGTAATTCTTTTGTGTCTTACTAGCACTGTTAGATAACTAATCACTCATCTGATCATTGTTGGGAAAAAATTTACTATCCTTCACTCATTATGCCATCACTGCTTCTACTAGTTCTACTAGTTGTCATTCTGAAACAATTTCTCTCCCAAAAAAATATGATTGCTTACTACAACATTTTCAGTTCACTGTCATTGCCTCTCATATGATTTTATCTTCTAGTTTTGCTACAGCTACTCATACTGACACATCTTGAGTCTTAGATTATGATGCTTCTCCTCATATAATAGGTAACTCACAATTATTTTCCTTTTTAACAATGCAAACTCTCTTTCCGATCATCATTGTTGATAGATATCCCTTCTCTATTTTTGGGAGAGGATCTATCTATTTATCCTCTATCCTCATTACCTTAATTGAAAAGCTAGTGAAATCAAAAGTAATTTTTAGCAAGAGCAAAAGGAAAGTTTTGCTTCCATTTCTCACACGCAGAAAAAATGTATTATTATTATTTTTTTCTTTAGGCATAAGGCCTTTTCTTCTTTGTGGTTAGGCAGGCACAGGAGGTTACCATCCCATAAGGTATTCTTCTCTTCATATTATGACTACGAGCAAGTGGCTGGGATTTTCTTGCAAACATATATATAAAGTGAACCCCACTAATGGGGTTCACCCATGGGCGCCTTAAATTTATATCCTAGGATTTTTGTGCCCTCCTAAGGACATTGAATTGACTCAACGATCTTCCTAAATTTGCCACTACTAAGACATAGCTTAAGTATGGGCATTGATACAAGAACAAACAACATCCTGGTGGAACTAGAACATGGCTCTACTTTGTGATTATATAGCCTCTTCCAGCATAGAAGATAGCGGTTTTTAATGGCTTTCAGGCTGCTATAGGCAATCATTACTTGATTGGTAGGCTTATTTACCTATTTTCCGCCCAACATAAAATTTCAATGATTATTAGTGTGCTAAGTTGTCTCTTGCAATGTCCAAATATGAAATACTGATGTATTGTTTTAAGGATTTTAAAATATATTAAAATGCACCTAGGAAAATGAGTGATTTATCATAAGCAAAACTACTTAAAAATTAAACATACTCTATTTGTCGATTATGTTGAATTTTTTTAAGATCAAAAGCTGCTTCATAACATTATATTTTAGTGGGAGGAAAGCTTGTTTCTTGGAGAAGTAAGAAAATCAACTATTGTTGTCAAATCATGTGTTGAAGCTAAATACACGATTAAGAGGTATTTTGTTTATGAAATGAAGCGATTAAAAATCTTATTGAAGACTTTTATTTTCAAGTTGCTTAGCCCATCATTCTTAAGTGCGATAGTCATAAAACAATGTATATTGCTCATAGCCCTATTTTTCATGAGAAACTAAAAACTATCGAATTAGATTATAGTCTCATGAAAGATGTAGTTATGTCAAAAATAATCATCACTCCTCATGTCCTTAATGAAGAACAATTAGCGAATATTTTTCTGGGTCGACTTCATTTCTCCAATCTTTACAGCAAATTGGATCTTTATAATATATAAGCTCTATCTTGAGGGGAAGTATTATCCTAGAGATTTACAAAATTGAAAATTTAGTATTACTACATGTTATATCTTTATTATGTAATATACTCCCTTTATTGAGAATATTCTTGCTATTTATATGTGACATACCATTGATATTTGTATATATATATAAACACCAATACTATAGTGAAGCCAATTAAGTTATTTTAGTTACTCTAATAGCAAGCATTGTCAACATTCATGAGATGTGCGAATTGATAATGTATAATTTATAACAAAGACGCATTAACATTGCTTCAAGAGAAGCACTCATGTCACATGAGTAATTGTTCCTTACAAACTACGTATATTAGATAACACCACAAAGGAAAATAAGTTATGGTGGTAAATAAATTTATCTGACGAAGTTGGGTAGAATAGATTGGGGTGGATCATCATTTAATTAAAGCCATAATGATTGTACATGCTAGTATTCAAGAAATGCTGAGAAAAAATTGCAAGAAACCATAATTTCATCATCCCCCGCTCTAATAATCACTATTAGAAGAGTCAATCACGTGCAAGTATAACAACTTGCATGTATATCTTCAATAAAACCAACTTCAAATAGTTGGGATAAGGCTGCCATTGATTATCAGGATGATGCATTTCATCAATAATGAAAAAGTCAGCCAAACGGATGGAGTCAGTTTTCGCAGAAAACAAATTCCAAAAAAGGAATTTCCTCTTAAATTTCATGATCATAAGTGAAAGCACAACTTTTCTGAAAATAAATAATGAGCTGGATTCATTCGGAACATTCTTATGGGTTCTAATTGGTCAGTTAAGGTAATAGATTTAAACATTTACTTCAATCAAACAAATTTCAATCTATTCAGGACTTATTATATATAATTCATGATTTTAGGTATGTATTAAAAAGTTGTAACCCCCATAGAGGATATTAAAAAAAGGATAGAACAAAGCGAATATACACAAACCTGATGTCAACAGAAAAGGCCAAATCCCGGAGACGGGGCACTAAATAAGTCGCCTCTCCTTCTGATATTGTACTGCAAATAGCAAAATAATATGTCATATGCCCTGCCTTGTAATTAAAACATGTCTTTGCTACACAACTTTCAGTATTACTTGAGCACAACAGAAGCAGGCCCGATGCTCTGGTGTAACCTATCATGATCATGCATAAAGGCCAAGCCATTTATAGCACCGTTAAGCAATTTGATAACAAAAAATCTTCGACGCTTAAATTTCCCTTCTCCGTCCAAAGAAGGCCAGATAGTTTGTTTAGTATTAGCAATATCCTTTGAAATTCCTTCACTTCTAACTTTGGCGTAGTCCGCTGCACTATATATCCCATCATTACGAAAAGCAAGCCACTGCAGACGAAACATTCTTTTTTTTTAATTCTTGCTTACCGAGACCCAGTCAGCAGATTTCTTCTCAATAGTACATATCAAACCTGCTCTCCAGTTCTAGTCTCGAAACCGCCTAACAAGATCTGGATATTTTCAGAAACAATTTTTGAATCTTCCTGCAAGATACATTCAAATTAGAACAGTTCATAATATATATATATATATATATATATATACACACACATATTCACTTAGCAGTTTCCTTACTTGAAGAGAAGCATGACAATTCAGCTCATTGGCAGCCATCATATCTGCTTCAATGCCACCAGCACGTCGACCAGGATAAACCTTCATAAGTCTTTTCAGGAAATGAGGCAGAACTGTGATGCTTCAAGGGCAATCTTCTTCAAAAGTTTTCTTATTTTTTTGGAAATCACCCCCCATAAAATTTCAATTTATCTTGTTAGATAATTTTGCTCCTATTATTGCTCAGCTACACTATACCATGTTTGCATGCACATAATTTAATCTACCTTCATTTATAAATCAACTTTCAAACTTCATAATTATATTCATAAAAGGTGTGAAACAAAGACAAATAGTTGCAAAGAGAAAAAACTATGAGGGGCAATTTGATTCCTCAGCAGATATGTCTAATCGAAAAGCATGCTTTGTACAACAAGCTCTATCATTTGCAAGAAAATTTGTTTGTACTTGGAGAAGAAAACTCATAGATGGATGCCTTGCTACACATTATTTCTTACACAGTACTAATGCACATGAAAAACTCCCATCTTAAAATTAGTTTCATTTAATGAATAAAAATACAGATATTGCTGGTTTTAACCAAAATATACTATCTTTCAAGTGATAAAAACAGCAACTGCAAAAAATAATGCTGTATATGAATATCACTCAAATTATATGCATAGGCATGTACCTTAAAAATCACTCTAACTCCTTGAAAAGGACCTTTAACAACTCTTCCCTCATAAAGCCTGAAACAAGAAACTAATGGATATTATCAATAAGATTTTAAGTGATGATATTGAAGGCTATACTTTAAAAAAAATCTGTATTTAAGCTAAAGTCACATCAAATTTTGATTAGGTGGAGCAAAAAAACACTCCCCAATCACAAGTGTATGAGATTCTCCATTTTGATTGTTTACCCAAAGAAGTGAACCCCAAATGTATTTTCGCACAAGTTTTTTGGTGCAGCGTATCAGTATCATATTGAAAGAGTAAAAATAAAACCATTACAATGCAGCAAGAGAGAAAGCACCTAATCTTCACTTTGCCTTCTCCAATATCTTGGATTCTTAAACGCTCAATGTCTTCTGAAGAATATCCAACGTTTGGCACTTCAATGTTTCTAGTATCAGAAGGTCCTCCAGGTTGAAGCGATGAATAGCTGTAGAGTTTCAAGCATTGTATAAGCACAAATCCCATGATTCATGGCTATTAAGCGTGACTAACATAACATGTCATCAACTTGCCGTACTAAGCAGAGAGCGTTTTTTTATTTTTCTATCGTACTTAATAATCAAACATTCATGATAAATAACAGCATTATCAAAATTTCTAATTGGTTGAAATTCCCAAATTCCAAACTCTTCCTGCAATTCACTTTAAAAGAAATTATTGTTAGACCAACTAAAGTAATAATTTTTTTCCCATTTTTCATAGCAGGAAGAAATTTTGTTAGATGATTATATTAGCTACAAAAATCACTGCTTCCCATTTTTAACGCCAAACATGAAAAGTTCACCATGGATCCATAATCAAATTCCGAACTTTTATTTCAATCTATTGCCAAGCCAGGTCATAGGAAACATTTAAGACATTATTAGATCAATAAACTACTACATTACGTACATTATCTTCAATCGAAGAAAAATTTACCAAATAAAATGCTATTCACTTAGCAGTTTCCTTACTTGAAGAGAAGCATGACAATTCAGCTCATTGGCAGCCATCATATCTGCTTCAATGCCACCAGCACGTCGACCAGGATAAACCTTCATAAGTCTTTTCAGGAAATGAGGCAGAACTGGATGCTTCAAGGGCAATCTTCTTCAAAAGTTTTCTTATTTTTTTGGAAATCACCCCCCATAAAATTTCAATTTATCTTGTTAGATAATTTTGCTCCTATTATTGCTCAGCTACACTATACCATGTTTGCATGCACATAATTTAATCTACCTTCATTTATAAATCAACTTTCAAACTTCATAATTATATTCATAAAAGGTGTGAAACAAAGACAAATAGTTGCAAAGAGAAAAAATTATGAGGGGCAATTTGATTCCTCAGCAGATATGTCTAATCGAAAAGCATGCTTTACACAACAAGCTCTATCATTTGCAAGAAAATTTGTTTGTACTTGGAGAAGAAAACTCATAGATTGATGCCTTCCTACACATTATTTCTTACACAGTGCTGATGCACACGAAAAACTCCCATCTTAAAATTAGTTTCATTTAATGAATAGAAATACAGATATTGCTGGTCCCTTAACCAAAATATATTATCTTTCAAGTGATAAAAACAGAAACTGAAAAAAACAATGCTCATCACTCAAATTATATGCATAGACATGTACCTTAAAAATCACTCTAACTCCCTGTAATGGACCTTTAACAACTCTTCCCTCATAAAGCCTGAAACAAGACGCTAATGGATATTATCAATAAAATTTTAAGTGGTGATATTGAAGGCTATACTTTAAAAAAAAAAATCTATATTTAGGGCATCTACAACCAAAAATCTCATTTTTAACTCCAAAATGCAGTGTAACAAAAAAATGGCGTGATACATCTCCAATCGAACTCCATTTTGCGCCCAGGTAACCGTCTTTCTCCTTCTACGTTTCTTCCACAAATCCGGTAGAGACAAAAAAATGACGCAGGTGAACAGTGAACGCCAATATTGGCGTCGCACTGTTCACCCGCAACCAAATACCGAAAATTTTGTCGTTCGGCTGGAGCTGACGAGCGACGCCATTCATGCGTTTGGAGTTCGGTTGGAGATGCCCTTAAGCTAAAGTCACATCAAATTTTGATTAGGTGGAGCAAGAAAACACTCCCCAATCACAAGTGTATGACATTCTCCATTTTGATTGTTTACCCAAAGAACTGAACCCCAAATGTATTTTCGCACAAGTTTTTTGGTGCAGCGTGTCAGTATCATATTGAAAGAGTAAAAATAAAACTATTACAATGCAAGAAGAGATAAAGCACCTAATCTTCACTTTGCCTTCTCCAATATCTTGTATTCTTAAACGCTCAATGTCTTCTGAAGAATATCCAACATTTGGCACTTCAATGTTTCTAGTATCAGAAGGTCCTCCAGGTTGAAGCGATGAATAGCTGTAGTATTTCAAGCATTGTATAAGCACAAATCCCATGATTCATGACTATTAAGCATGACTAATATAACATGTCATCAACTTGCCATACTAAGCAGAGAGGGATTTTTTTATTTTTCTATCTTACTTAATAATCAAACCATTATGATAAATAACAGCATTATCAAAATTTCTAATTGGGTGAAATTAACAAATTCCAAACTCTTCCTGCAATTCACTTTAAGAGAAATTATTGTTAGACCAACTAAAGTAATATTTTTTCCCATTTTTCATAGCAGGAAGAAATTATTGTTAGATGATTAGATCAGCTAAAAAAATCACTGCTTCCCATTTTTAACGCCAAGCATGAAAAGTTCACCATGGATCCATAATCAAATTCCGAACTTTTATTTCAAATTTTCAATCTATTTCTAAACCAGGTCATATGAAACATTAAGACATTATTAGATCAATTAGCTCCTACATTACGTACATTATCTTCAATCGAAGAAAAATTCACCAAATAAAATGCTACTTTTAATTCTTATCAGAACATAAGTGAACAACAAGTAGCAAAGGGCCTCATTACTCTTTGCCCGCATAATTGCCAACATGAAGAACCTATCACTTCAAGAAAATACCAAAAACAATTCTCAATCTAAAACATGTAGCTCCATATGTTTCCAAATCGTAAACCTAAAGAAAGAAATAACTTCAATGCAAGAAAATAAGCCAAAAAAGGGGGGAATAAAAAAACCTGGTGACGTTCATGAACCCGTACTCTCCAACGTATTTTCCCACAGCAAAATCATCAGGATTAGTGATCAATGACGCTTTAAAGATCCGATGCTTTAAACCCTTGGAAACAAAACCGAAACTATGCAGACCAGATGATTTTTGGCTAGTAGAATAACAACGGCGGCATCCATCAGAAAGACTAACTGCAGTTCGCGGCAGCACAGATCTGCTCGGAGCTGTTATTAGGATCATGAGTTGATAATTTGGATTATGTGGATGAAATCCAGAAAGAGAAATGAGAACCCTAAAATTGGAGGGAAGAGTGAGCTTTCGGATGGATAACGGGAAGGGCCCGAGTATAATTTGGCGATGACCTACGATTGTGTGGAGGAAATAATAAAATTGTGGAGTCAGAATATTTTTTAAAATTAACTTTATTATTTAAATATATAGATTAAATATTTACTATTTCAAATCAAAAATAAACGTTAATAATATATAGATACATAATATAAATCAGAAAAATCTCACACTAATCCACACATTATTAGTCTATGACTTCGCTTAGGACGATTTTTTTATTGTTACTTAAAACATAATTTTAGTACAAAAATTTTGGTAATTGATACGTCGTCAAAAAATTATCTTAAACGGGCGTGAATCTCGATACAAAATCAAGTTGGAAACTTCAAAAACTAATTTGGAGATCATCCAAACTCCGATTTCAGCAAACTTACAGTCAAACTGAGCGTCTCGGAAATACAAACCCAACGACACCAAATTCAACCCAATCCGAGCACAAATGGGTCCAAATCAAGGACTCGAAGCGTTGTTGGAAGGTTCAAACCACAATTTGGATTACCAAACGGTTTTCAAACATAACAAGCTTATACTCTAATCGAGCGGATCGACGAGACAAATCCAACGAGCCCAAGATCATTGAATTCCGACATCATTAAGGTCTTCAAATGTCTAAAAACAGTGCATGATCAAGGGATTCAACATCGGCCGTTCATCCGACCACTCTCCATTTACCCTGATCTCTCACCTATTTATGGGTCATGCCACTTCATAAATCTATAAATTGAGCTCCCTCTCCTTTTGAAAGAGGACCCCCTAAGCTTAAGGAAAAAAGAGAGAGAGATCGAAGGTCGCTCTTGCTTCCTTGCCTCCTCGACCACCGTCGGAGTTTGGTCGGAACACCACTGGAGTTCCGTCAAACCACCACTGATCCACCACCTCCGGACTTCTGCTGCACCACCACTGGAGGCCCTCACCTCCGCCGAACCACCACTTAAGGCCCTCGCCTTCCTCGACCACAGTGGGACTTCAGCTGGACCACCATTGGAGGCCCTCACCTCCGCCGGACCACTGCCTAACGCCGTTGCTCCGCCGGACCACCACTTAAAGCCCTCGCCTTCCTCGACCACCTGAGGCTCAGACTTTCACCGGACCACCACTTGAGGCATTGTGCTCCATAAGAACATCACATGAGGTCCGAACTTCCGCCGAACGACTACTTTACGCCTTGCACTCCACCAAGCCACCACTTGATGCCCAGAGTTCTCCCAATCGTCTACCGACTACAGTCCTTTCGACCTCAGTCGCCTACTATGGTCCTTCCGACCCCCAATAACATACAATAGTCTTTCTGACCTCGGTCTCCTACCGACTGTGGTCATTTTGACCTTCGTCTCCTACTATGGTCCTTCTGACCTCCATCAACATACAACGATCTTTCTAACCTCGATCTCCTGCTGACTATGGTTCTTCCGACCTCCGTCGCATACTATGGTCCTTCCGACCTCCATCAACATACAACGATCTTTCTGACCTCGATCTTCTGCCGACTACGGTCCTTCTGACCTTTGTCGTCTACTATGATCCTTCCGACCTCCATCAACAGACAACGGTCTTTCTGACCTCCGTTGCCTACTATGATCCTTCCGACCTCCATCAACAGACAACAATTTTTCTGACCCCGATCTCCTACCAACTATAGTTCTTCTGACCTCCGTCGCATACTATGGTCCTTCCGACCTCCATCACGAGATAATGGTCTTTACGGCCTCCATCCTATCGACTATGATCGTGCCGACAAAACAAACACATATATTGTAACTCCCACCATGTAATGCACTCCATATGATGTACATTTATGACACTAAGTCAAGGCCTTCTCCCAAGGAAGGGCCTCATTTGTAATCGACAACAAATACTAGTGGATTCATTCAAACTGGGATAGATCCCGTGATTTTCCCTCCTTTTTTAGGGGTTTCCACGTAAAAAACTATGGTGTCTATTATGAATGCTACACCCTCTTCTTATATTGATTGTGTGCTGTCTTCGTAAAATGCTAAGACGTTAAATTTATATATTCTTTACCGCCGTGAATCTCCAGGGACGCAACAGTACTTAAACTCCTGTTTTAAAAAGTAATATAAAAGACGTCCCAAACGATGCTCTATAACAATTTTTTTTTATTTTCTAAAAACTATTTTTTAGTAAAAGAAATTAGCTTAAATTATTTTATATTTAAAAAATTCTTAAATAACGGAAGAAATTATCTCCCAAAGAAAGCCGCAATCCATGATATCATGTACCCTAATGTCATTTCGATTATAACCAAAATTAATGAAAAATGCTTTTCATATTATAAATCGTTGAGATAAAATTTATCCCAATTTAGTCACTCTGGAATTTTATTCCCAATTTAGTCACTCGACTTTAAATTTTTAACTCATTTAGTTTTCATAATGATATTTTGGATTATTTTTTGTATAGATTTTTGGAAAAGAGGGCAAATTA